CTGTCTCTGAACACACTCGATCCAAAGTGATTCACATGACAAACCGAACCAATCAACTGATTCACCTGACGTCCGACGAACCCAACAGCTTTTTTCTCAACTTTATTCAACATGAAAAATACAGAACTGTCATCCAAAGATACAAGTATAAAACAGTGTATTCAAAATATATTCACCGAACCACAATAGAAACAAATAAAAGAAAGATAAAAAACACAAAAAAAGCTAGGGGGGAGGTATTATCTAACCAGAAATTTTAAATAAAGTGCATACATTAATTGTTTTATGGCCTTTATATTATCAGATAAATATATTGAAGAAATGTATTGTCTGAACTCCTTTAAAAAGACCAAAAATAGAAGTCACGTCACTGGTGGTAGGTAGGGACCGTTCTGATCCACACTCCTAAATATATTGAAGAAATGTATTGTCTGAACTCCTTTAAAAAGACCAAAAATAGAATAGCTGAGGAAAAAGAAGAAGAAGAAGAAGAAGAAGAAGAAGAAGAAGAAGAAGAAGAAGAAGAAGAAGAAGAAGAAGAAGAACTTTGTTTTCCTGTTACAGACTGAAACAAGGGCAAGTTTGTTCGTGACCTCAGTAAGAAAATAACAATAATGTTTTTATTTCCAATGAGTTTCAGTCACCATTTTTACTATTATTAAGTAATATTGTAATTTTGCGTAAAGCTCACTCGCCTTATTTCTGGATTCAGTCTTGGGGCACCATTCTATAGCGTAGGTTTATCTTAGCCATTGCCTAACGTTAGCGTTAAATCCTGAACGCATTATAAAGTCCTGTTAACTATATTGTCGCTAGTGGCGTGTGGAAAGGCTGGTGTCTGTGAGACAGTTGACCTGTCACTGACGACACGTGGAGAAAGTCCTGAAGGCGCAAGGGTGTAAATAAAAAAAACATGAAATGTGAAAAATAAGTAATGCAGCAGTTAGCTTTAGGCTATCTTGTGCCGATCTTGTGTCGTAAAGTGTTGCCTTGTCGAGATGTGCTCCTCCTCTTAAAAACTCTGTTTCACGTAGCGCCCTCGGTGCTTGTGATTAGGATAAGGTTAGGGTTCACATAAGATGAATAAGATGATAAATCCATCTCGATGGAGAAACCGATTTCGTCACAACACCGGTAACATGTTCTGTCAGACGGAATGATATGCAACTAACGTTACAGTTTTTAAACTTATACCAGTAAAACACAACTTATACTAACACAAACTGGGTGCATTATAGTAATTTAGCCGAAAAAATGGGAATTGTTCTAATGTTGTATATCTGCAAACATGTTGCCTACTAACTAGAATGGCTGTTTTAGCTAGTGTTTTACACTCCGTATGAAACATGGGATTTTGTGTTAAAATAAAGAATTTAGTAATTCAGTTTTGTACATTGAAATTCTGAAAACTGTTCAGTAGTTAATCGATTGCAGGTTGCCTACTTCTCTCACACATAAAACTTGAATGAAAATGGGTAGCTGTTGGGTTGCTTGTCCAATTAAAGTCTAAGTGTGGGAAACACTGGCAAACATAAAATACTCTGCAGCAGGCATAAGCTTCCAACTGTAGAAACCTGAAAATCTGGTTTGGTGTAAGCTTTCTTTCTACACTGCTTTTTGCTCTTCTGCAGGTAAAGACAGGTTGTCCTGAGGCCATCAGCTTGACATGTTTGTTGTTGGCTGACCATGTCTAACACATGATGGATGACACTGAAATTGAGGCAATGGCCACACTGTCAGGCAGCTCTTCCATTGGGGATCCAGTATCTGAAAGAGGACATAGTTTGGTTGATGAAGATGGCGAGGATTGGCTCTACCCAGAGAGAAGACCTTCTCTGGACCTGGGACCAAGTCCAATGGATACCAGTCAGTGGTAATGAGCGATTTTTCACAAAATAACCCTAAAGGTCCTCGCTCTTCCTGTGTAGTATTTCTGAAGTGAGTAGTGAAAATATAACTAAAGTAGAAAAATGGGCTCAAACCTGGAACCTTCTTGCTGTGAGGCAGCAGGGCTATCCACCACGCCACTGTGGGTGTCACATATCTAGTTTTAATATAAGGAATGCACCTTCACACAATTCTGCTGATCATTTGATTTTTATGGCTATGTTTTAAATTTTGGTTTTAAGAACAAAACTGAAGCTTGTACTAAAATAAGAAAAATAT